TCCTACTTCCCCCCCCTCCTTTTACAATGGCAGAACCACAGCATGTAAAAAACCATTTTTTTTTTCTTTTTAAACTAGCCATCTAATAATCTATTATAAAATCTTGCGAGGATTCTGACATATAAAAAAATAACCTCTGCTAACCAAATGCTTCCCTACCAATGCAACAACCCAAGTGCCCTCAAGAAGAGCTGAACATTATTCAACTAAACAAAGATGCACCGCAGTAACCCAGAACTCCAAAAAGGGGAAACAGGCAACCTATTCAATGTACTTCCAAAATAACAGATACCCATGTATACACAACGCATTACAATACAACCTTCATTCAGCCTGGGAACAAAATGTCTGCAGGAAAACAACCAAGCTTAGAGAGGATCAAGAACCCAAGGATATCCATGGACAACTGCATAAAAACTAGACTGAAAAAATGAAAGAAAGAAGTTAAAATCACCACAAAGGAAGAAAGACAAAGCCACAAGAAAACCATAACTGAATAATCCAGTTCAGTTCAGTTCAGTTCAGTAGACTCCCTCGCCAGATAAGCAGTCAGTTTAACAGAGTCACTGATATAGTCTGGAAAGTGAATACAGTTAGTCCAACAACCTCAACCAGAAAGTTTTAGCAGAATAAAAGTAGCAAGACCACAGAGATGAAACGATGGATGAATACAGCCATAGCATGTTTCCCTTTTCCTCCCGTGAACATCCAGACATGGAATCACTCCATGCTGTATTATGCTTCTCCCTCACCTGTTCTACATCATCAACCAGCGCACTGCAAGGGAGGGACTGGGGAACAGAGATTCAAAAATCCTCACAATGATTATCCTGCATCAACTGATGTTACAGCAGACTTAGATTTTCTTTGTCACTTCAACTACCCTCCTTTGAGCCTCACAAAGCTGACCAGTTTGAACAAAAGGGCCTTTATTTTCCAATAGCAGGAGGCTGTTTAATAAGGTGAGTCTTTTAACAAAGAATTAAAAATTAAGCAATATCACCACTGTGCCACACTTTAGGACTCTTGATTCTTCTAGGTGGCATCTGCTAATGTCAGACGCCACTGACATTCAAGTGTAATTAAAGAGAACATCCATAAATTTGCCAACAGAATGCATCAGAATTAATGCTTTTAAAATGAATCCCCAAAGAAAGCAATAATAGGCTGACATTTATATAACATTACCCATTCTGCTAGACATTCAATTAATACTTCCTTGGGTAGTCAGTGCAGGAACGTTAATTATAATGAATGTATTTGTGTTTGTACCTACACAACAGCTAACACTAATGAATTTTACAGCAAATTAACAAGAATTGTTCCAGTGGTATTTCATTTTTCTTCCTTGTGCTACTATGCAATGACCACTGTCATGTGCTGGGCAACAGAAATACTTTCTTGTAGGCAACAGGCACACTCAGAATGACTGGCAGAGCATCTGCTAAAAATGACATAGATCATGACCCAAGTTCAATCCTCAAAGAGTTAAGAAAGAGCTCCCCCCCGCACACACACACACATCCCCAAAGCTGACAAACTGTAGGGACTTAGATCTTGTCTTTGTCACGCTCACTACCATCTTCTCAAAGATGAGACCTAACTCAGTAGAAGCTTTCTTCCAAAATTCTTGGCCCTTTGATAATCTGACCATCGTATTCTCTTCCTTCTTTCACTTAATGGTAATTGTAAATGGATGCTGCCTTTCAGAACAGTGTTTCCCACTGCAACAGAATAAAATAAAAAATCAATTTTAAAACTGAAAGCAGCAATGTGTAAGCAATTTTGGTTATTTATTTATGGCCCCAGACCAAAACCATTTTTTAAAGAGACTATAAACATAGACTTGCTGAAAAGCTCCACTGTTAGATACAAATTTGAAATATTAACGTATTAATATATTAAGGCCTTGGATGTCAAATCATCTTTGCTTCATGCCAGATCTTTCACAGGGAAGGGCCCTCAGAGGCAACCAGCACTGTGAGGTCCTGCTCTGGCAGGGTGGATACGAAGAGGGACCCAGTGGGAGAGGCCTTCCTTCGGATACTGCAATCGCCGCCAGGAGAAGACACCTGACATTTCCGGTGCAAGATGCCAGCAGAGGAAGCCCAGAGAGACATTTATATCTCCACTTCTCCTTCTACTGACCTGGGCTTTGAGAATTAAAATGTATATAAAATATAAATTTGTGACAAACAAAGGAAGCAACCACTGAGCACAGTTCTTGAAATCTGCCTCCTGCTGGTCACAGTAACTTTAAATGTTTTAACTCCAATTCCCATTTCAGAAACTTTTGTGGCCCTAGGACAAAAAATTAGGCTAGCAGGGGGCCTCTTTCAAGCTTCCATTGTTTTCTTCCCATTGAAAGTCAGTTCAAAACATTTTATTTTGTTCTCAACTCAACTCAAAAAGACATTCCAAATTAGGCTGCTTTCTTTTTCTTTCTTTTCTTTTTCATAATTGTATTGAAAGTTTTAACAGCAATAGTGAGGACTAATGCAAACTAAAATAGAACAGAGAAAAGGAAAAGGAAAGAGAGAAATAAAAGAAAAAGCTAAAAGTGTAATAGGAAAAAAGTAGGAATAAGTAGGAAAAAAGAGAAAGATATAAAGAAGATATAAAAACATAAACTAATGCAAACTAAAATAGAACAGAGAAAAGGAAAAGGAAAGAGAGAAATAAAAGAAAAAGCTAAAAGTGTAATAGGAAAAAAGTAGGAATAAGTAGGAAAAAAGAGAAAGATATAAAGAAGATATAAAAACATAAAGAAACGGCTTCCGATGTTCTTCACAGCAGTTCTAAGTACATTTTAGCCTCTCTCTCCAAAGTTACTCCAAATTAGGCTGCTCTCTCCTGAGCCCAGACCCCCCCCCCACACCCCCTCCATTTCAGGCCCAGCCCAGTGGTCTAAAAGCAGCCGCTCTCTTCAGGACAGGACAGTATCGCAGAGCCTCGACAAAGGCAGGCGGGTGCCCCTCTCGGCTCAAAGGACCCGATGGCCCAGGCTCAGGCTCAGGCAGGAGGAGGCCCAAAGGCGAGGCTCAGGCTTGGCCTTGGCCAGGGAGGAGCTCATCAGCCAACGGGGATCCTGGGCTTATGCATCCAGCCCTGGCAGCAGAAACGGTAACACCGGTGAAAGCAATTCCTGCTGCATTCACCCTGCCCTGCCCTGTCCTGGGTGGGTGGG